AGCTTTTGTGACATCTTACTTCCTTGTTTTTGTTTCCTATTGGCTATAATTTCCTTCAGCATGTTGCATGACTTCTTTTCCTTTCCGTTACCCCAAATGCTACAAAAAAGTGTTGGCTTTTAACTCCTTATAATTAGTTACTGATGCAATGAAAGAAACTTGGATCTGCTGACACAGAATTAAAATTAATAAAAGAAGTTTTCACTGAATCATAGTAAAAGAAATCCTAATAATGTCATAATTGCTAATTCTGAATGCCGCATTCATTTGTGGCTAGGGTTCAAGTTCTGGAGAAGGGGCTGACACACAAATGGATACACTAGACAAGAAATATAAATTTAAAAGGCATGGGGAGTGGGGAGCCAGGCGGATAACTTCCCTCTAGTGGAGAAGCTCCCTGAATCTCTGGACCCATCAGCTTTTTATTTACTAGAATACACATTTGCCCTTTAGCAAAGCAAACAGGAATATCAATGGTAAGGTTTGGTAAACAAAAGGATTATCAGGTTAGGGGATTGCCTTCAGCCATTCAGCCAACAGCAGGGTAATGTAATGCTGATTTTCAGTCCTTGCTGAATATCAAAGTCCATTAGCCCTCCACCTTACTTCTCGCATTTATATGTTAACTACTGTTGGTCTTTGCCTCCAGCATCTGATTATTACAGAGTAGCAGAGTCACCAAATTGGAAGCAAGAGCTTATGCATCAACAAGTTGTGTAGCATTTTTCAGTACCACTCAGAAACACAGCCTCTACCATACCTCCTGAACTATTTTGTAACTTGCTGAGAAAAACAAAACAGTTTGCATTAGGGTATGTAGTATGTATTTAGGATTACATATGATTGGCTTAAACTACTGTGGTCAAATTTTTAAAATAAATTGTGAAGTAGACTGTTAATTTCAGAGTAAAGATATTGATGCTGAAAAGTCCACATGTTTGAGATTTGCAAAAAGACCCAAACTCTCCAACTTTGAAGCCCAAGAACAGAGTATGACAACGTGTTCAAAATGTCATGAGAGCTGCACTATAGTATAAGCTATAGTTTATATTTACTAGGATGTGCCTATGGAAGCAGCTCTTCAACTGGCAGAGAGTTATTTCTCCCCTGTTTCATTAGCCTGCTTCTAAACCTGAGAAACAGAATCTCATTTGTCTCCTACACTCAGGGATTTTGCATTTCTCTTCCTTTATAAAAATGCTCAGCAACTGCACCAGTTAACTGCAGATTGGTAAATTTGTCTTGCTATAATGGTGACATCTGTAATGTTCTAGAAAACAACAGATTTAATAAAAGCACAAATGTGAGAACTTGAAAAAAGCACACCAATAAGATTCATGCCTGTCTGTGTCAGCCTCTCTCCCCAACCAGTCTGGTTGTGAAATATATACCAGACCTGGTTCCTGTCTGGGGCAATACTTTTTTTCCAGTCATTGAAGGAAGAAATGCTTCTACAAGGGACATAGTGATGATTGCAGTCAGGCTTTTCTCGTAACAAGCAAAACAAAACAAAATAAAATAACATCAAACGGGGTGGGGACAGAATAACTGTGTTTTCCAGTGATTTATCTAATTACTAAAGGGAAATAGGCTAGTGCTTCACATGGGAACAAAGAGGAATACATCTGAAGTCAAGTGATGTCTGAGTTGGCTCCTACTGGTAACAGTTATTAGAAGATTATATTGACCAAATGATATTTGGCAAGACCATGAACAAGCCAGATACCTCAAATAAAGACTATGTTATGTATATATCTATCTACTAATTAATTTCTTATCCTCCCTTTTTACTTCTTTTCCAGCTTACTTCATTGTAAGAATACAATAAATAATGCTAATAACATAGAAACTATGAGTTGATCTACTGTTTATGTTTTCGGTAAGGTTTCGTGTCAATATTGGGCTCTTAACAGGCAAGCTTTTGGGTTCTTCTTTTACTCTTTTTGATAGGCTGTGACATTGATGTTCAATTCTAATTGAATTTATAGGTTTATACATATGAGAACAATCTAAGCTGCTGTAATAAGTGAGTTAAAAATAGAGTGACTTAAGATATAAGTTGATTTCTTCATATATTAGCCTGAGTTGTGGTCTATGACGGGACAATAGTTTGAGCTATTGCCAGGGGTGAGAGCTTCTTTCATTGTCTCCTCTCCCATTCCTAGAATGCAGTCCCTGCCCATCATATCTCAAATAGCTCAAGTCTGCATACATTTTTTCAGCTTGGAGCAAAGAGAAGAGAAAAAAGGAAGACAACATGTTTTAGATGGCATTTTGCCTGTACAGATGAATATAGTGATGGGTGAGACTTTTGTTCTTTCTTCTGGGGGAGATGGTAAATGCATTTTTTTATATTTTTTTAATTTTTTTTTAATATATTTTATTGATTTTTTACAGAGAGGAAGGGAGAGAGATAGAGAGTTAGAAACATCGATGAGAGAGAAACATCGATCAGATGCTTCCTGCACATCTCCTACTGGGGATATGCCCGCAACCCAGGTACATGCCCTTGACCGGAATCGAACCTGGGACCTTTCAGTCCGCAGGCCGACGCTCTATCCACTGAGCCAAACCGGTTTTGGCGGTAAATGCATTTATATGACTGTATGACAGTGGGTATTTTAGTTTGCCATTGTTGTTGTAAATTTAAATATAGGAGCAAGTGTGTGTTGCTTATAAAAAAGATTGGATTTGGCCAGGCTGGTGTGGCTCAGTGGTTAAGTGTCAGACTATGAACCAGGAGGTCGCATTTTGATTCTAGTAAGGGTACATGCCCCAGTTGTGGGCTCCATCCCCAGTAGGGGATGTGCAGGAGGCACTCAATCAATGATTCTCTCTCATCATTGATGTTTCTATCTCCCCCTCTCTCTTTCTCTCTGAAATCAATAAAAATATATTTAAAAAAACGATTGGATTTGGTGGAAATAGTGAAATGGCACTCATGTTCTAATGTGGCTTCCTATACTGCAGATATTGGAAAGCACAAACTCTATTTTTAAAACTCTTTTGAAGTTGAGGTTGAGAATGATAATTGGGTTCTATTTGATGAAACTGACTATGATATGGCAGACAGAAGTCTCCTTGCTTATTTGGGTGTTGTTTCTGGCCAGCACCATTGTGTACTTGTTGACTCTTTTCTAACACAGCCTTCTAGAGTAGAGGTTGACATTAATTTTTCTGTAAAAGGCCAGATAGTATCTATGTTATTTTGTGGCACAAATGGTCACACAAGCTCTATCAAAACTTCTCAACTCTGCTGCTGTAATGAAAGCAGTCACAGACAAAATGTAAGCAGAGGAGTCTGTGTTTGATGGCTGGATTTGGCCTGTGGAACACAGGTTGTCAAGCTCTTTTCTAGAGCATGGCTTAGAAAGGCAGATGCAAGGAGCACTAGTGGTCCAACTTAACATTTTATTCTCTAGTCACTAACCTCATGGGCTGTCTAGTTGTGGAGGTGCTGGCTTCTTGCTCATTCAATCAACTGTTCTGTGGATCACAGTTTCAGAGATGGCCTCCTTGTTTTTCCATCGTCCTAATTGCCATAGTGATTGTAGTTCCCTGCTGAGTCAGTTCAATGGTATTGATCTGGAAGTCATGCCTGAAAGCCCAGGGTAAACCGTCTTCTTCCACAACTTTAGTGATTTTTGCAAGCACCCAATTTCTTACATTTTAAAACAATGTCTTCTTAAAGTATATCTAGATTGGGTTCTATTTCCTGGAACTGAAAACTGATTGAAGCTTATCTCTAAATATTATTCAGAGACCATAACTCCCAATATGTCTATATATCATTCAGAGATCATCACTCCCAGTTCTCTATTGGTCATTAGGAGATCATCACTCCCAATATCTCTATACGTCATTCAGAGACCATAACTCCCCATAGTCTATATGCCAAGAAAGAGGAGCAAAGGCTCAATGCATTCTGAGATTGTTGGTAGCCTAAATACGTGTGTTTTTTTTTCTTTTCCTAAATAAAAGCAGGGATAACACAGTGAACAGTGCATATTGATAATAAATCTAAAATCTTGGCAAAAAAAGTACAAGATATGACCTTAGACTTAACAAAAACCATACTGGATTATGGTTAGGTATCACAAATCGAGCCCATGAAGCTTTCTTTACATTTGGACAGAAAATCTACCAGCAACCAGTGGACAGTAAATGGTACAAGAGATATTCTACTTGTCTTTTATCAAATGCTAGGCCTGGTTGGTGGTTGCCGATTCCAACCATTTAGTAAAGACAAAATAATTCATAGAAATGTTAAACATGCTTATAACTAAGAGGAAGACATAGTTGTGAATATTCCTTTTTATTATAAGTGTCACAAGAATTGTTAGAAGACATCAATCATTGTAGATGTGAAACGGCAGAATCTTAGAGGTGAGGAGAAGTGATGGCAATGACACAAAAGGAAATGGCAGAAGTAAAAATAATATTTATAGAAATACCAAGAACAATCACAAAACAAAATGAATACTGAAGTAAAAGACAACATAATTTAAACTTGCAAAGTATCAAATCAGTAATATGGTGGAAGAAATTTAGTATTTCTTCATAACACAGAGGAAACAGACATAGCTGAAAATTAAGGAAAAATTACATCTAGGAAGAAGAGAAAAATAGAAATCCAACCTAAGATATTCATGCATTCCAAAGGAAATGACATAATTAGCAATTACTTCATAGAACATTTTTCTGAGCTAAAGAAGAGTCTACATTTGTTGGTCTATATGTGCTCACCAAATTCCAGGCAACTGTAATGGAAAAAACAAACAAAAAAAGCAGACCTATCAAAATTTACATTTCAAAAGTAAAACATAAAAAAGCAACCTTAAGAAGCTATTCAAAATGTATTCAGGTTGCTTTCATATTTTGGCTATTGTAAACAATGATGTGATCTATCGACAGATGATTAGATAAAGAAGAAGAGGTACATATATACAATGGAATATACTCAGCTCTAAAAAAAATGAAAACTTGCCACTTGCAACAGCATGGATAAACCTAGAGAGTGTCATGGTAAGTGAAATAATACAGAAAGAGAAAGACAAATGAAGTATGATTTCACTTAGATGTGGAATCTAAAAAGCAAAACAAACAAAATAATGTATTTAACATCTAAACTGGCATAGAAATAGATCAACATGATGAATGTTGGTACTGGCCAGAGATGGCCTTGCTAGCAAGTACTTCTGAATAGATTATGACATAACTATATATGTTTTCATTTTTGTGTGAATTCAAGAAAATATATTTTTAAGTATGCAAGATCTCAGAAAATATATTGCTAAGAACATATTCTTACCAAGAAAACTACTTGAAAATGAGCTCCCGTGTGACCGTCTGGGTCTAGAAGTGCAGACACCTCCATACCTCGGGTGTGTGTACCGGAGTCAGCCGCCAACCTGGTAGAGGAACAGAAATGGAGAAACCCTTCCACCCTTTCTGAAACAGGGTCTGCCTGACTGTGTATCATGAGCCCCGGGTTCCCTAGGTCCCTCGCCCGGGTAACATCCCCACACCGGCCTGCTTCTGAGAGTTCTAGGTCGGAACAAGTCGGCTGATTCCACTTTGCAGTGTCTACTTTGGTGAATGACTTTCGCTGGCATGTTCGGTGTCTCTCCTGCAGTGTCTGCAGAACCTCCTTAGGAAGGCATACCAGTTGTTATATTAAAGACAAGGACATTTTCTGCAAACTTGATTATTTCAGAAGGTATGGAACTCGCTGCTCTCGCTGTGGGAGGCACATCCATTCTACTGACTGGGTCCGGCGGGCCAAGGGCAATGTCTATCACTTGGCGTGCTTTGCCTGTTTTTCTTGCAAAAGGCAACTTTCCACGGGAGAGGAGTTTGCTTTGGTGGAAGAGAAAGTCCTGTGCAGAGTGCATTATGACTGCATGCTGGATAATTTAAAAAGAGAAGTGGAAAATGGCAACGGGATTAGTGTGGAAGGTGCCCTCCTCACAGAGCAAGATGTTAATCATCCAAAACCAGCAAAAAGGGCTCGGACCAGCTTTACGGCAGATCAGCTCCAGGTGATGCAGGCACAGTTTGCTCAGGACAACAACCCAGATGCCCAGACCCTCCAGAAACTGGCAGAAAGGACAGGCTTGAGCAGACGGGTGATACAGGTGTGGTTTCAGAATTGTAGAGCACGCCACAAGAAACATGTCAGTCCCAACCACTTCTCCTCTGCCCCAGTCACATCTGTCCCACCCTCCAGGCTGTCTCCGCCCATGTTAGAAGAAATGGCGTATTCTGCCTACGTGCCCCAAGACGGGACGATGTTAACTGCGCTGCATAGTTATATGGATGCTCATTCACCAACAACTCTTGGACTCCAGCCCTGGTTACCCCATTCAATGACACAACTGCCAATAAGTCATACCTAATTTCTTTTTCAGGGATAGAAATGATTAAGGATATAAACTTGTCATTTATTATGTATAAATTACCATTGAAAAGATTAATGTTAATTTTTATTTAACACCTAAAGCATTTCCAACATCACTTTGCTACCCAGGTATGTATCTACAGTTGGCCTGCAAGACACTTTTATTGATTTTTTTCTTTTTCTTTTTCTTTTTTTTTTTTTTGTAAAACTTATGTTTACAAGAAGAAAACAAGTCAAAACTTTTTTTGTATTGTCTGGAAATAGTTCACTCTAGTGTGTATCTGTTAATTTATTTGTCATCAAAAGAGCACTTTGCCTAAAAGAAAGGACTGACAAGTGTGCAAAATGTTTACAATCCTTTGTGAAATTGTAGTTTATCATTAGTTTGTATCTGTAAGTTATTGTTATAAATATTACCTGTATTTTTTTTTTGGTACATACAACTTTATACTTTGAGTCTTGTATCTGTGAATTTGCAACTGAAATTTACTTTGCCACCATTTTCAGAATGAACTGAATAAAGCTTCTGTTGTAGCATGCCACGCAGACACGTTCTTGTGTTTGTGGTTGATGAATTACGGCTGTAAATAACACTATGGTTTAATAAGCCCACCATTCTAAGTTTATTAAACATTTTCCATTATTGTGAAAAAAAAAAAAGAAAACTACTTGAAAGTACTCTCAACAAACAATGACAAAATTAAAATCAAGATTTAGTGAAATAAATTAGAGATTTAAATATAACTACTCTCTCTATAAAGCTATAAAAGTAAATGCAAAACCAAGAACTATTATTTTCTTTTAATCAGGTTAAGTGTAGGTACAATGAAGTACACAAATTATAAGTTTATAGCTTAATGTAAATATGTATACATCTGGGGCACCAACTATATCAAGGTAGAGAATATTATCAGCACCCCAATAGCTTTTATGCTCCCACACATTCAATAGAGCCCCCTTAAAGAAAGTCTCCAGTTTTATGACATTTATCTTTAGTTTTGCCTGTTTTTGACCTTTGTATGTATATTGTATCTAAAAGATTCATTCATACTATATGGTGCATATAGTAGTGGTTTGTTCTTTTTAAGTTCTATATAACATACCATTAAATGAATATATCACAAGTTAATTAGCTTGATGCTATTGATGGGCACTTGAGATTTTTCTAGGTTATGGTTACTAGGTTTTGACTAATTAAGTTTTGGAAAATTTTGTGTATGCTTCTTGGTGAATATGAGTATTTATTTCTGTTAATTATATCCCACCTAATAGAACTGCTGTGTTATAGAAATGGCTATGATCAGCTTTTGTAGATATTGTCAACAGTTTTCCATGTGGTAGATTCTTCTGTGACGGTTAGTTTCATGTGTCAACTTGGCTAAACTATCATATTCAATTTTGAATCAAATACCAGTTTAGGTGTTGCTGTAAATGTATTTTGTAGGAGTGATTAACATTTATAATCAGTTGACTTTAATAAAAGAGATAACCCTCCATAAGCTGGGGGGTGGGGGGATTGGGCCTTATCCATTCTTTGAAAGTCCTTCAGAGCTTTTCAAAACTAAAGTTTCCTTGAGGTAGAAGAAATTCTACTTGTGGACTTCAGCTTCAGCTCCCCACAGAGTTTATAGCTCTATGTAATACAAATATCTTCTCCCAATATGTTACTTCACTGCTCACTCTCTTATAGTATCTTTTAAAAAAATATATATATATATTTGTTTTGATTTCAGAGAGAAAGGGAAAGGGAGAGAGAGAGAAACATCAATGATGAGAGAGAATCATTGATCAGCTGCCTCCTGCACACTCCCCACCGGGGATCGAGCCCCACAACCCAGGCTTGTGCCCTGACTGGAACTGAACCTGGGACTCTTCAATCTGTAGGCCGACACTCTATCCACTGTGCAAAACCGGCTAAGGCTCTTATAGTATCTTTTAATGAGAGAATTTCCTAATTCAATGAGGACCTATTTATTCACCTTTTCATTTTTGGTTTATGTTCTGTTTAGAAATCTTTGTGCTTCAGCTCTTAAAAGTATTTACCTATCTTTTTCTTCTAAAAACATTTTATTTATGTTTCACAACTAAGTCTATGGATTAATTATTGTGTATTATGTAAAATGGAGTTAATATTTGTTTTTTTCATTTGAATATTCACTTGATCCACCACCAATTATTGAAAAAAAAATCATTTCCCTATGGTTGTCAGTGACATGTCCATCATTTATTAGATTAATTGTTACATGATATGTCTGCCTCTGGATCCTCTATTCCATTTCATTGGAGCTTGTGGTGCAACCTTATGATAAATGATATCTGGAATTGTTAGTCCTCGACCTACATTCTTCAAGATTGTTTTGTATTTTATTAATTTTCTTTTGCATTTCATATAAATTTAGATTAAATTTGTCAAGTGCCACATAGACAGCTACACAAACCTGCTGATAATTTAATTCAATAGGCACTTGATCTAGGAATCAATTCTTTGAAACTTTACATTATTGACCCCGGCACAAATAAAACAATGGTGATTCTTTTAGATCTGCAATTGAAATGGTTACAATGGCTTATAGAAAATAAGGACTAACCTTACAGTATCTTTTGAAGTTACTGAGAACTTGTTTGTTAGCTTAGAAGGATATCTGGGGCACTTGGAAGTCAAAAGCAGTAAGTTCTATTGTATAGAATAAACATAATAGATAATGCAGTGAAAATGTTGCCTGATAAACATAATAGATAATGAGGTGAAAAAAAAATATTCTTCTAAAGAATCTGAGATTAGTAGCATTCTGGATAATTATAATACAACTAGAGGCCTAATACATGAAATTCATGCAAGTGGCTCAGCCTCTGTGGCTGCTGCCACCACGCCTGCCTTGGCCCACGCCTGCCACAGCGGCTGGGGGCCTCTGCCTTGCCGCGGCTTCATCTGGAAGGTCATCCGGAAGGATGTCCAGTCTAATTAGCATATTACACTTTTATTATTATAGATAGATAATACAGTGAAAATGTTGCCTGATAAACATACTAAATAATGCAATGAAAATGTATATATTTTTCAAAAGAACCTGGGACTAGTAGTATTCTAGATAATTATACTGATTTATGGGCTGGTCCTAGTAGCAAAAAATTACATAAACCTTTCTGCTCTTATATGTGTAAATTTCTGCTATAGTTGCTGAACTTCCCACAGTGATATTAATGAAAGTTGTTTAAGTACTAGAGGCCTGGTGCACAAAATTTGTGCATGGGTGGTGGTGGTGGTCGGGGGGGGGGGGGGGGTCCCTCAGCCCAGTCTGCACCCTCTCGCAATCCCGGACCCCTTTGGGGATGTCGGGACTAAACTGGCAATTAGACATCCCTTTTGCAATCAGGATGCTGCATGCACCAGTGACCATACTTTTCATACAGATGAAAGGCATCTTGCTGTTGTATGGGCAGCTACATTTTTTGCCCTGATTATAAAAAGTAGTACATACCATGATGCTTCTGAAGCAGTAGTACCATTTTCCCCATCTTATGGGTGGAAAAACTGAATCAGAGAGAAGTTAAGTAATTGGCTTTGTTACACAGTTATAAGTATCAGAATCAGGGTTGACCACAAAATGTGTAAGCCAGAGTCCATGCATGTCATCTCTGCATCATACTGTTTTTTCAGTGTTAGAGAAGCCTTGCCAGGCTTTAATTTTTAAATCTAATAGACTGTTCACAACATATAGGGTAGGGCCCCTAAGCCTGGCTGGCGATCAGGGCCATCTGTGGGGTGACTGGCAGGCGGGGCAATTGGGGGGCCCTGCTGGGATCCACATTGGCTGGTGATCTGGTGCCACCTGCCGGCTGGCCCCACCCCTGATCGCTGCTGCCAGTCACCTCCCTCTCAGGGGGCAGACATTCAATGCAGGTCAGGGGCAGCTCTTGCATTGTCTGCCCCCCTGGTGGTCAGGGAGCATCATAGCAACTGGTTGATCTGCCAATTTTTCTGCTGTTTGGTCTATTTTCATATCAAGGTTTTATTATATAAGACTAGAGGCCTGTTGCAGGAAAAGATTCGTGCAATAGGCCTGGGTCCTGGGTGCTGGAGGAAAACCGGTGCCACTCCGGCTGGAGCCACCTTCAAAGCCCTCGCTGCTCCGGCCGGAGCTGCCTTCAGTCTTCACTCTGCCACTTCACGCCTACGTATGCAAATTAACTGCCATCTTTGTTGGAAGTTAATTTGCATATCTTGCTGATTAGCCAATGGGAGGCGTAGCGAAGGTATGGTCAATTTCAATCTTTGTCTATTATTAGATAGGATGCTTTCCCACAAATTAAACAATGTCAAACAAAAGTCATTTCCTCTTGACTGAGAAGATGAGATGAAATTAAAATATTCATGTGTAAATAGCACAAAGTTTGTAAACAAATATCCTAGCCACTGGAGAGGGTGAGTAAAAATAATTAAACTTTCATTAATTCCCTGACTGATATAAATAATATTAGCGCTTGTTTATCTCGGCCTAACCTCAGCTCTCATTCTGTATTGAAAAGATTGCTGATGGAAACTGTCAAGTTGGAAAATGATGCTTTCTCACTTTTGACTCCTGTGTACATCTAATGTGACTATCAATTGATCATCTATCTACCTCTCTGTCATTTCAAATTCCACAGTGATACTCATATCCTTGCACATGGCATGTAAACAGAGCCAGATCCTAAGATGGCTGTTAAGTAAGTAGTGATTTACCTTCACATCAGATCTTTCTGTACCCTTTCCTCCCTCCCCTCCTAATTCCCACCTCCCAGACCTTCAGAGGCTTGCATACTGCTGCTGTCAGTCTACTTGTCGCTGCTTCTCAGATTGTTAGTAGCTGCCAATACCCATGTTTGCCTCTGCTTCCCACTGACCCTGCTACCATACATTCTCTAGCCCTGTTTGCAGGTGTGACAATGAGACTGGGTTCAACAATGTGCAACACTTACAAACCTAGCCTTGAAAATCTCCTTCAAGATCCCCCTTCT